AGGTTTTTGGACAGGCGTATTTTTTATATATAAACCGCCCCCCCCCCCCCCCACATGTTTTATATTAATAGACTAATAGAACTGAGTGAAAAGAAGGCTGTCATGTGTGGTGTGTAAACTCTTATACTTTTTTAAGGAATGTTTAAATGCCGGCAGATAGGGTGTAGGACTGTCTATAGGACTGTTGTTTAAAGGCCAGCAGGTAGGGTGTAGGACTGTCTATAGGACTGTTGTTTAAAGGCCGGCAGGTAGGGTGTAGGACTGTCTATAGGACTGTTGCTTAAAGGCCAGCAGGTAGGGTGTAGGACTGTCTGTTGGCCTCTTTCTCAAAATAATGATGTAGAAAGAAAAAAGTGCACCCGTTTAAATGAAGCACCTTATGCAATTTGTAGGAAATCAAAGTTTAGAAAATCAAATAATATCGCAAATTTTTGAGTATGGAGTTTTTTATTATTTTTTTGAATAAATAAAAACTGGAGTAGTAGAAGCTGTAGAGAAACGATAGAAGAATATGAAGGTCTGCAGTCAGTGACGTCATTAGGAGTGCGAGCCACCCCGGGCGTCACCCTCCCAAGAACAGGGTGTCTTCAGAGCAGGGTATCAACAGAGCAAGGTATCAACAGAGCAGGGTGTCTTCAGAGCAGGGTATCAACAGAGCAGGGTGTCTTCAGAGCAAGGTATCAACAGAGCAGGGTGTCATCGGAGCAAGGTATCAACAGAGCAGGGTGTCATCGGAGCAAGGTATCAACAGAGCAGGGTGTCTTCAGAGCAGGGTATCAACAGAGCAGGGTGTCTTCAGAGCAGGGTATTAACAGAGCAGGGTGTCTTCAGAGCAAGGTATCAACAGAGCAGGGTGTCATCGGAGCAAGGTATCAACAGAGCAGGGTGTCTTCAGAGCAAGGTATCAACAGAGCAGGGTGTCATCGGAGCAGGCCGATTCGAAGGACTCCATGGGGGGGGGGAGAGGAGTCTTGAGGTGGTGACACCGTGAGTTTCGCGCACCCCACTGGTCGTAGTAAGTCAAGCTATAATACTATTCATGAGCATTTTAGCGCAACCCTCTGGTTGTAGTAAGTCAAGCTATAATACAATGCATGAGCATTTTAGCGCAACCCTCTGGTTGTAGTAAGTCAAGCTATAATACAATGCATGAGCATTTTAGCGCAACCCTCTGGTTGTAATACGTCAAGCTATAATACTATACATGAGCATTTCAGCGCAACCCTCTGGTTGTAGTACGTCAAGCTATAATACTATACATGAGCATTTTAGCGCAACCCTCTGGTTGTAGTACGTCAAGCTATAATACTATACATGAGCATTTTAGCGCAACCCTCTGGTTGTAGTACGTCAAGCTATAATACTATACATGAGCATTTTAGCGCAACTCTATTGTTGTAGTACGTCAAGCTATAATACTATACATGAGCATTTTAGCGCAACCCTATTGTTGTAGTACGTCAAGCTATAATACTATGCATGAGCATTAAGCATTTGCATAATGTTTGCTGTATCTTCTATTCATGGCAAAACCCGGTATAATCCTAAGGAGGCCATGACACATACCATTTCCGGAACATGTCTATAACAGTGATTTAAGGGTAGACCACTACTTCATTTCTATCATCTATTCATCTAGTGCCAGTATGGAGTCCAGATCCCTTCGTGTTCTTCCATCCATGCCCCCCCCCACCCTCTCTCCAGTAGAAACACGTCAGACGGTTAACGAAAAGGGTCGCATGTTTAAGAGTGTGTCATTATGGATTCCGCGGGATATAGTTAGGGGCTGGGAGAATGGAATGCACTTTTTGATCTGGCAAGGGACTATAATCCCAACACGAATGATGCACTCACGATAACTGGGTCACACGTTCTCTGGAAACTGGTTTGTAATAGTAGCCGCACTAGTTTGGCCAGGGGTTCTATATCAGCTATTTCATAATGGTATCCACGACAGCACAGCCAATGGTTCTATATCAGCTATTTGATAATGGGACTATAAGCAATGGGTCTCACTAAAAATAAAATAAACTTGAAATGAATGTGTCTTTGTGTCAGTCTTTCCTATGTAGCAGCTATTCAAGTACACATCAAAACATTTACTCACCCCAGGAACTCCCTGGCCAACACTTCGTGACAGGTGCACACACTCACCCCATGAGCTCACTGACAAAAACACAGTGACAGGTGCACAAACTCACCCTAGGAGCTCACTGACAAACACACAGTGACAGGTGCACAAACTCACCCTCAGAGCTCACTGACAAACACACTGTGACAGGTGCACAAACTCACCCTCGGAGCTCACTGACACACACACTGTGACAGGTGCACAAACTCCCCCTCGGAGCTCACTGACAAACTCACCGTGACAGGTGCACAAACTCACCCTCGGAGCTCACTGACAAACTCACGTGACAGGTGCACAAACTCACCCTAGGAGCTCACTGAAAAACTCACCGTGAGCCGAAGCATTTCACGTTCAATCCTCTTACCATTTATTGTGACGCGTTAAATAAATAATTGCTTCCGTTTTGGGATGACGAGGCAGGGGACATCCATCATGGTGTCTGCTTTTATCTTTATCCAACATCTTAACTGTGCTCTAGAGAGGGATCTCTGTCAGACACCGACGGGATAACGAGTAATAAATGGGCAGGTCAAGAGATCAAAGGCAGGGGCAAAGATATATATAAATCAATCTCTCTCTCTCTCTCTCTCTCTCTCTCTCTCTCTCT